ATCAGTGTGGGAAGAATTTCAAACGAAAAGATAGACTTCATGATCACATGAGGATCCACACTGGAGAGAAGCCGTACACATGTGATCAGTGTGGGAGGAGTTTCACACAAAGAGGAACCCTTATTGCACACAAGAAAACCCACAGTGGAGAGAAGCCATATACATGTGATCAGTGTGGGAAGAATTTCAAACGAAAAGAAAGCCTTCATGATCACATGAGGATCCACACTGGAGAGAAGCCGTACACATGTGATCAGTGTGGGAGGAGTTTCACACAAAGAGGAACCCTTATTGCACACAAGAAAACCCACAGTGGAGAGAAGCCATATACATGTAATCAGTGTGGGAAGAATTTCAAAAGAAAAGAAAGCCTTCATGATCACATGAGGATCCACACTGGAGAGAAGCCGTACACATGTGATCAGTGTGGGAGGAGTTTCACACAAAGAGGAACCCTTATTGCACACAAGAAAACCCACAGTGGAGAGAAGTCATATACCTGTGATCAGTGTGGGAGGAGTTTCACACAAAGAGGAACCCTTATTGCACACAAGAAAACCCACAGTGGAGAGAAGTCATATACCTGTGATCAGTGTGGGAGGAGTTTCACACAAAGAGGAAACCTTATTGCACACAAGAAAACCCACAGTGGAGAGAAGTCATATACCTGTGATCAGTGTGGGAGGAGTTTCACACAAAGAGGAAACCTTATTGCACACAAGAAAACCCACAGTGGAGAGAAGTCATATACCTGTGATCAGTGTGGGAGGAGTTTCACAACCCTTGTTACCCTTGTTGCACACAAGAAAACCCACAGTGGAGAGAAGTCATATACATGTGATCAGTGTTTCAAACGAATCACACAAAGAGGAAACCTTATTGCACACAAGAAAACCCACAGTGGAGAGAAGCCATATACATGTGATCAGTGTGGGAAGAATTTCAAACGAAAAGATAGACTTCATGATCACATGAGGATCCACACTGGAGAGAAGCCGTACACATGTGATCAGTGTGGGAGGAGTTTCACACAAAGAGGAACCCTTGTTGCACACAAGAAAACCCACAGTGGAGAGAAGTCATATACATGTGATCAGTGTGGAAAGAATTTCAAACGAAAAGAAAGCCTTCATGATCACATGAAAATCCACACTGGAGAGAAGCCGTACACATGTGATCAGTGTGGGAGGAGTTTCATACGAAGAGTAACCCTTTACAAACACAAGAAAACCCACACTGGAGTGAAACAGCACCAGACAGTTCACACTACAGAAACACCTTACAAGTGCTCACACTGTGAAAAGAGCTTCAAACATTCAACACATCTACAAATACATGAGAAGATCCACACTGGAGAGAAGCCGTATCACTGCCATTCATGTGGGAAGAGATTCACTCAATTATATTCTTTAATCTGTCATAAATTACATGTCTGCATGTCTGAAATTACAGTAAGTAGATGAAGTTCTGATCCTGTACTTCCAGGTGCTAGGTAGGGCTGCATCAAGTAATTATTTTGCTAATCGATTAATCAGAGATTATTAGAACGATTAATCAACTATTCGTTGATTATTTCACAGATTAATCAGTATCTTTATTAATTATTTGGCTTGTGGAGTTTGTTAAAATGCTGAGTTACACCCATTCTAACTAATAAATAAAACAAGGAAATCACTTTTTTGATGTTCACATGTTTTTGAAAATGTCTTTTTAATATATTTTGAGTAAACAGAATTATTATCCTCTTCAGGTTTTCTGTCCTCCTCAGTAGTCATCAATACACCAACTTTGCTCAGAACTGAAACACAAAAATAAATAGGAATTTCACAACACATAGGAGGCTAAAATATTCATCTACAAACTATTGTTACTTAGATCCCTTTGTGAGCACTGTGCAATCTTGAGAACGCTGAGGCTTGCGAGCTTGTCTGAGTTAATCATAAAATTTAAGCCAAATGTTTTCAGAGATGAAGGCATACGTGTTTTATTTTGTGTGTGTGTGTATGTATGTAAATGAATCTCTTAACACTAAATGTGGCCACTGGGAGACCACATACAGTTGTTTATTCATTGCAATGCATTAGGCCTAATAGAAAGCCAGAGATTCTTATGTTCTTCTACATCACAAAACTACAAAACACCTGCATTGCAAGACATTGTCGCTACAGCTAATATTGGACAGTACATCAGCGGTTGTGGGTGGGGCCTGAACAATATGACATCATACTGCTCAGAAAATCAAAACGGCTAGATAATTGAGACTGTTTAGGATTTTGGCGGATTAAAAAAAAAAAAGGAGTGAATGAATTTTTAGCATTTTAGGGTAGCTGTGTCCACACACTGCTAAGATACATTTATATGCAAACACCATGTAAAAGTGAATTTTGCATCCAATGTCTACTTTAAAATTGACGTATAATCTTAATTCAAGAGATGAAGGATTTCAAAAGTGTGACAGTAATCAGTGTTGAGTACTACTGTAAGGTTTACCCTGCCTGGTTTACATGTTTGAAAATGATAAACAGTTGAAAACATTAGAAATTTAGAAAAGTAATCAAATGTAATCAGTTACATTACTTTAATAAAGTAATTGAAAAGTTACACTACTATTACATTTTAAATAGGGTAACTTGTAATCTGTAACCTATTACATTTCCAAAGTAACCTTCCCAACACTGTGTATATGTATGGTTAAGGCTGATTGGCAACACCATTGGGACACATATATCAAATGTAAACATTTGTATCAAATACAGCAGTGGGTAAGGGAAGAGTATCAGGTTGGAGCAGAACTGAGGAGAGCATAATTACAAGGTTGAACAGTAGCTACAATGCATTTAATAAGCAAACATCCAACAGATCTATGCGAGGTATGTGACGTTAATGAAACGGTTGAACATGTTATAATGTACTGTAGGAAATATACTGTGGAAAGAAATTAGTTAAAGAACGAATTAGAGAATATGGGTGAGTTTACAATTAAGAATTTATTAAATCCAGGTAGAAATATAATACCATTTGTTACAATATTTGGGAAGTACTGGTTTGCACAAGCGAATATAAGTATGCTTTTTTTATGTAATCTAAATCCTGCCAAGAGGGCTGAGGGTGGACAGAGGAGCTGAACACGCAGCGCTAGGATGAAGCTCTATGAAGACTCTAAACGGGTACAAGACTCAAGGGTGATTGAATGTGGGTTGTTAGGCAAATCAGGATTGTAGATAGAGGCTGTGTCCGAAATGGCATACTCAATGAGTAGGTAATTTCAATAAGTACTTACTTAACAAGTGCTAAAAGAGTACATACTCTACAGGCAAATCTCGTTGAGTCTGAATGCGATCCAGACTTCATCCGCCATGTTTACGTCATCATGTGACCTATGACATTAACAAGCGCAACAACTTAAAAGATATGAGCGACAGGTTTAATTCATCTATCTGTAAATATTTTGATGTTGAAGAAATTTGCTCATTTTGTGGTCTCGAAGAAACAGCTGCCCTTTTATTGTGATTGTAGTATAACCAATGCAGAGTTCTGGCATGAAACTCTAGATGGCGCAGTCCGATATGTCTAACTCAATAGCCGCGTTTCCACTGTCGGGCCAAAAGCGGGCGTGCTAGTGCGTGCCAGGGCCAGTTGCCTCATTTATAAAATGTTGTGTATAAACCGTCCTAAATTTGTTCTAAGATCATTTCTCAAAAGTGCATAAGTGCGATTCAGAGAAAACGAACGTGCGCACAAAAACATGTGCGAACGCCTCTCTTCCAGATGTGACATTTATAAATCGCAAATGATCTTGAAATTGTGCGCAGCTGACTGGTGTCAGATCTCCGCCTTGTAAACGCCCCCTAATTAATATCATTACCATATAAAAGAGTACACGCCAATATCAGAATTTTTATGCTTGAGAATGACGAGCACAAAGAAAAAAAAAACTTTACTGAGTCTGAAATTGAGGTCCTGCTGGCGGAGGTGGAGGTTCGTGCGGGGACGCTTTTTATTTAATAATGTGTAATTATTCTGTGGACAAACAAGTGTGTGGTTACATTTTTCTATTGACTATTATCAAAATTACTATGTCTAGAAACAACAGAAATAATAATAATAGTAATTATAAAACAATTAGGTTTCCAAAAGTAAGAAAACTACGAGTTCAAGTAAAATTTTCAGTCATCTTATAGCCTATACCTCTTGTTGGATTTATACGAATTAAATAAATTAGTTTTCGATTGTTTAATTTAAGTAGACCATTCAAGCTGCAGACATGGGGCCTATTTTACAAAAACAATTTGTAACGTTTTGTTGTTATTGTGGAAGTCCACAAAATAAAGCAGACATTCTTTCCTCTGTTATCACAATGCAAGGGATTGCGCCGGCGCCGCCGACCCGAGAAGTGCAGTGTTGTGCTTTGTATGAGATAGGCTAGCCTATATTTGCAAGAGCCTATGCAGCAGCCAAACATGAAGAAATGTTATTGAGACTAACTTGCTAAGCGGCACATCAGATGAACTCTTATCCTGCGTGATGGGACAGACATAGGCTTGAAAAGTGTCGTTTCAGCACAATAGCATAAGCTTTTTTTATTTTACTCACAAATAAAAAATACGACTACTAGCTTGATTTTCGTTTATCCGTTTCTCGGACAAAACCAAATAATAATAATAGACATAATAATAATACAAACCGTGTTGTCATTTCTTTATTTCTTTTTGTTCTTATTTCGATTTGGTGTTAAATCAAACTTGACTCATTCAAACAAAGAAATATTCCAAGCCCAGAGTCGGTTCAAAATAACTGTTTTGATCTGGTCATCTTAAACGAGTCAGATCCTCTGGGTCTGAGTGCAGTTATTGGATAGCATAGGCTATATATTGTAGACAGATTGGAGATTAATCCTAATAAACATGCCGCTACAATAAAAACCATGACATTAAAATACATTTAAAACAGTGTATGTCTATGATCCCTCCTGCAGTAACAGCGTGCAGATCCTCGTTTATCTCAGGACTGTGGTGACAGCAGCGGACAATAGCTTAGCTCGCTCACACGTAACCATATATGTTCTATAACAGAAAAAACATATCGATTTTATGACATATGTTGTTATTACGAGAAAATATAGTTTTAACGATAAAATATGTCGTTTAATCGAGAAAATGGTCATTTTAACAACAGCATTATTACGACATCATTTAGTGGAAATTATAAATAGTGGCAGCAGTAGAAAAAGGCCAGCATTTTGACATTTTTTTTTATTCAACAGAAACGTACCCATATTTTACTCAAAGCATACTGCAAGCAAGCTTATAGCTAAACGAGCAAAACAAGCGCTTTCACATGGGAAATCAAATTTAATCAACAATAAAAAACAACGCCACTGCTTGGTTCAGCTTATTCGCACAGGCTGTTGAATAATAAATGCTCCTGTTATTTGCAGAAAGGGCAGTTTCTCCAAAATTGAAAAGACATTCTAATACACAACAAACGAAAAGGAGAGAAAAGAACATCGGACCTCAGACTCGAACTCCTGTCACTTAAGCAACACTGTATGAACGCAGACATCACTACAGAAACCGATACTTACAAGCATATGCTCACTGCATTTGACACACATCAACTTACACAAAGGATAATAAAATTGCACAATTTGTGTAGATATGATAAAGAAGACGAAGATACACGTGTACCAAATGAAAAAGTAAAAATATCACAAGATGAAAGTCCAAATGTTGGTCACATAACGTTAAAAAACAGGATCCTTGAAGTAGATCGCCATTCAGATCGACATTCTACTACTCATGTCTGACTGCCTACTGCATCAAAGGGGCTGGACTGTGTAGAAAAGGAGGGGCTGATTTTAATATTACAGAAAATGCAGTTTTTTACGACGTCGTTGTCAAACGGAGCGCCGTAAATTACGGCGTATTATGGATGGCCACACGACGAAATTAACGGCGTTTTGGATTGCTTCAATAAACACCGATAATAACTGAGGTTCTGCTGTGAAAACGCCGTAATTTTTAGACGAAAAAACGCCGTAAAATAAGGCGTTTTCTGCACACCAGGCATCTGGTTAATGGTGAATTGTGACGCGTTTGGCGTTCCATACTTCACACACGTAAAAAGTACACGACTGTCTACTTCGGTAGGTTATCCATGGCACGATCCACTCCTCATAATTTTTATACATTTCTCACATAGTAGCCACGTCGCCGTCAGGTATAGTTCCTACTATGACGTCGCCGCCGGTCTGTCGTCTGCCGTCCCTATCAATCCCATTCAAAAATCGACACGGACTGACGGCGACGGAAGGGTAGACTGCGCCTTCTCCCTCTCCTGCTAAGCCTTCGATCTGTCACATAACACTCGCCATAATCGATAACACTCGCCATAATATGCAGCCTTCGGAGGATGCATCCTTTCGTTTGAGAAACACCCTATGTGTCAAACTACCCATCCCTATTCCTTCCGTTCATCGAGGCTTCACACTCCATCCCAGTAGGTGGCGGAATCGCACCTAAAGTTGGTTTGCCAACCGCCTTTAAACATAAAAGAAGTTACCGGTAGAGCCATAACACAGCTTTGAGTCTTCTGAGGTGAGATAACTTGTTTGTTTATACAATTATAAAGATACAGCTTGTTAAAGCAGCATTTTACAGTGTCTTTTCTGTATTGTTTTCATCTGGTACAGCATTATTTGTGCGTCTTTTCTGGCATCTGCTAACTGACATAAACATTTAGCCTAGCAGCAGGGTTGCCAACCATTCTGAATTATCACGGAATTGTCCCGTATTTAAGACACAATTTTGTCATGTATACGCAGGCATATGCCATATGACCAACCAAACAATACGAATAACAAACTCTGAATTGAAAATAATAGATTTTTGGTCACATCATTGTTTGATTTTCGAACGTTTGCTGAAGGCGTTAAGACCCAGCAGAATCCTCAGCCGGCTGGTTGGTGTAGCTATATTGTACTGAAATCACAAAACCATCTCCAAAGTTATTACTACACGACTGGTGAAGAATTAATTCTTTTTGGAATTAAATTGTACATAGATCGGCTTAGCAATACAGTACAAATATTTTCAGTGTCCCTTATTTTCAGCGATGTGAGAAACTACTGTTGAATTTATTGAGACCTGAGTGACTTTCTGTGTTGTTGTTGTTTGTTTGTATGATTGTTAACAGGGGTTTTCCTGGCTGAGGTGGAGGTGATAAAATACTGCTCATGTGCACGCACACAATGCGGTACCATGCATTTCAACTGGCTGAAGAAAACATTTTACAAGCACACATTTTAGGTTTTTCAGTAATAATATAATAGATATATTTTTATTTTGAGAACAGTGTCATAGTTTTTTTTTTTCCCACAGTGTAAAACTCTTATCAGAAGGGTCAGTATCACTGTAGGGTGCCTTTTGGTGTCCTGTACATAAATAACTCATTTGCCATGATAACTTAACATAAAAATGACTATGAAAGGGTGTGTTATATTAGGCTAAGTTTTAATATTCATAACAAAAGCATTACTTTTTGTCTTTAGATACATTTTCTAGATTTCTTTTTGTTTTGTGTAAGAGGATGCGTGTTATTTTGCTATGTCCCATGCACTGCGGATTCATTCATTCATTCATTAAATTTGAATGATAGTAGAATAGTCAAATCATAAAATTTTACAATTTTGTTCTCCTATGAATATTTTGTTAAATAAGATATTACTCAATTTGAGTGTATTGATCATTTGGTAATAAAAACTATATTTTTATTTAATAAAAAAAGAAGAGTTTATC